CACACAGGACGATGCAAGGAGAAAATAAACTTATTTTGGCAACCCCCAACATGTATGAACTTTAACAGGATTAGCCTCGCAATGGAGGAGCAGACGGGCATCGTTAATAACAAGACGGGTTTCCATTCGGAGGAGAGTAAGGAACACTGGGCCCTGTCTAATAAAATTAAATTCAATGAGGGAAAAGTAAGATTCTTGTTGTGGTCCTTCGGCAGCCTGCGGAGTTGGCGGCAGAGTCGGACAGTGGGGAGGAACACGGGCCAGTCCTGGAGTCTGGGGAGGGCTCGGACGAGGGACCTGCGTCCAACACAGAGATGGGGCCGGGGCCATCTGGGTGTTATGTGCAGCCTCCGAAGACTCAGAATCTGACATCAGCGAGGCAGAGGAACAGCGGGAGCCTGTTCCCAGTGCGCACATGCGCAGAGCTGCCAGAAGGCAAGAACAGTTCAGACAAAAGGGGCGACTCGGGAGTAAGGCTTGGAGATCATTGGCCCCTCCCATATGACATACAGGAGGAGCAAAGGGACAGGAGCCTTTGCAGGAAGCAACTTTGTTCTTCCTGATTGGTTTAAACTCTGAAGCTCCGTGTTGACTTTGTGCTCCGTTTGGCCTTGTATCACTAATTGGCAATTTAGTCGTTGGCAGCATTTCAAGGGAGATGAAGGTGGGTGCTTATCAGCCTTATCCCGAAGGACTGTGGCAGAACTTCATTGGGACTATTCACAAACGGTTTGGGACTCATCGCGGGCTGGGAATGTATATAATTCACAGCCGTTGAAATGAAAACAAGGTGTTGGGGGAACAGTGTGTGATTGTTACTGTCTCAGAAAGCTTTGGTCAGAACAATTCTACATTTAGGCAAGAAAAAAACCAATGGGCAAGTATCATCCAGGTACCCTGTTTCCCCGAAAATAAGACCTGACTGGAAAATAAGCTCTAACATGATTTTGTTTTCCCAGGATGCTCGTAATATAAGCCCTACCCCCAAAATAAGCCCCGGTTAAGATTGTCAGCCAGAAGGACGCGTTTGGAACCCTATTTCCCCCAAAATAAGCCCTAATGCATCCTTTGGAGCAGAAATTAATATAACACCCAGTCTTATTTTTGGGGAAACATGGTAGACTTACGATCACAATTCACCCCAAAATTGGGTGAGTGAGTTTGCCCCATTTTACAACCTTTCTTTAAGTGGCAGGCATTAAGTGAATCACTGCAGTGGTTAAGCTATTATCTCAAATGGTTGTGAAGGGAATCTGGCTGCCCTGTGGACTCTGCTTATCAGAAGGTCTCCAAAGGGGGATCACGTGATCCCTTGGGAAACTGCAACCGTCGTAAGTATGAACCTGTTGCCGCGAGTCTGAATTTTGATCACGTGACCACGGGGAGGTTGCAAAGGGTGTAGGTATGTCAAACGGTCTTAAGTCACTTTTTTCAGTGCCGTTGTCATTAAGTGAACCGTTGTAAGTTGGGGGCTACCTGAATAGAGGGCATTGCCAGAAGGATCTCGGGGTCCTAGTGGACAATCACTTCAATAGGAGCCAGCCGTGTGCTGCAGCTGCCAAAAAAGCCAACACAATCCTGAGCTGCATAAACAGAGGGATAGGATCAAGATCAGGTGAAGCGTTAATACCGCTTTATCAGGCCGAGAAGGTAAGGCCCTGCTTGGATGTAAAAAAGATGTTGAGACTCTAGAAAGAATTCAGAGTAGAACAACAAAAGAGGATTAGGGGACTAGCTAACATAGGAATCACAATTGCTGGAACTGGGTTATAGAGAATATGCATCGGAGATAAATTCCTTGTGTGTCCAATCACACTTGGCCAATAAAGAATTCTATTCTATTCTATTCTATTCTATTCTATTCTATTCTATTCTGTTCCTTCCAATATTTATTCTATTCTATTCTATTCTATTCTATTCTATTCTATTCTGTTCTGTTCTGTTCTGTTCCTTCCAATATTTATTCTATTCTATTCTATGCTATTCCATTCCATTCCATTCTATTCTATTCTATTCTATTCTATCCTATTCTATCCTATTTTTATTCTATTCTATTCTATTCCCATTATTCTATTCTATTCTATTCTATTCTATTCTATTCTATTCTATTCTATTCCTTCCAATATTTATTCTATTCTATTCTACATTCTATTCCATTCTATTTTCTATTCTATTCTATTCTATTCTATTCCTTCCAATATTTATTCTATTCTATTCTATTCTATTCTATTCTATATTCTATTCCATTCTATTTTCTATTCTATTCTATTCTATTCTATTCTATTCTATTCTATTCTATTCCTTCCAATATTTATTCTATTCTATTCTATATTCATATTTTCTATTCTATTTTCAATTCTATTCTATTTTCTGTTCTATTCTATTTTCTGTTTTCTATTCTATTTTCTATTCTATTTTCAATTCTATTCTATTTTCTATTCTTTTCTATTTTCTGTTCTATTCTTTTCTATTCTATTCTTTTCTATTTTCTATTCTACTCTACTCTACTCTACTTTATTCTACTCTATATGTAGCCCTGAGAAAAGATTCGCTTAACAACCGCGTTACTCCTTTAACAGCTGCAGTGACTTGCTGAACAGATGGGACAAGAAAAGTCACAAAACAGGACAAAACTCATTTAACACATCTCTCACGTAGCAACACACATGTTGGGCTCCACCGTGGTTGTATGTCAAGGACTTCCTTCTGTAAAGGCTAACCTTGGCAAACTACAAACCCCCACCCCCCCAGGATCCTTTGCCAGGACTCCTAAGGTGGGGGGATGTTGGTGTACAGGTATAATCCCACCTGCTTCAGTAAGGCGGTGGGTGAGATGCCCGTCCTGAGAAGCACCAGAGAAATCTTGGTATGGCTGCGTTGTCTGCATGTGTGTTTGTGCGTTGGGTTGGGTTGTTGGGTTTTTTTTTTACAAGACACAACGCAGAGCTGCACATTCCGTTTTTTTAATTATCTCATATGGGGTAATGAAGCCGAGGGCCTCGGGGCAGGGAGTTAAATACGTTGTGTGAGTTCAGCTGGAGGTGAGATCGAAACCTGGGAATTTCTCCTGTGTGTTTGTGAGAGAGAGGAATTCAGGCCGCAGGAGACCTTGGCGCCCGGAATAGCATCCTGGGTGTCTTTAAATGTCTTCATATGGAGTCTAATGACCGAGAACAACTTCCCTTGAGGCACAAGAGATAAAAGAAGGGGAGTCAGTCTCACCACAACTTCCTGCCTGCCTGCCTGCCTACCCTACCCATCCACCCATTAATCCATCCATTGTATTCCTTTCTTTCTTCCCTTCTTCCTTCCTTTTTTCCTTCCTTCTTTCCTCCTTCCTTCCTTCCTGCCTGCCTGCCTGCCTGCCAACTTACATACCCCATCCATCCATCCATCCATCCATCCATCCATTCTATTCCTTCCTTTCATTTGTTCTTCCTTTCTCTCTTTCTTAACTGTCTTTTTCTCTTTCCTTCCTTCTTTCTTTCTTTCTCTTTCTTTCTTTCTCCTTTCTTTCTTTCCTTCCTTCCTGTCTTTCTTTCTCCTTCCTTCCTTTCCTTCCTTCCTTTCTCACTCTCTCTCTTTCTACTCAGTCTTTTTCTGTCTGTCTGTCTTCTTCTTTCTTTCTTTCTTTCTTTTCTTTTTTCTTTCCTCCCTTTCCTCTTTCCTTTCTCTTTCTTGCCTTCCTTCTTTACTTCCTTCTCCCTCCTTCCCTCTCTCCCTCTCATGATACAAATAGAAGATAAAAGTCATTTTATTCTTATTTATTTATGTTTGTCAATTGCTTGCAAGATAATAGGTATAAGTAAAAACATAGTTATGAATACATGGATACTATATATATATATGGATCTTTGGTTGTTCGGGTTTTCTCCCGCGTAAGATTTGAAGTATCTAGGCAACGTTTTGATGAAGTCTCATTCATCGTCTTCAGGCTTCTGTCTTCGGCTCTGTGCTTCTCAGAGTGATGTGAGATTGCAGCTGCTTCTTCCTTTTAACTGCTAGTGGGGGTGGGACTTGATTGGTAGGGGGTTTGGCTGTGTTCTGATTGGTTGGGGGTTGGCCGTGTTCTGATTGGCTGGAGGCGTGTTCTGTTCAGGTGAGGGCTTGGTTGTGCTCAGGTTAGTCTTAGTTGCTGGGGGATTTGAGTTGGTGAGCTGTGATCTTGCTGTTTGGCTTCGAGTCCATATGTTTTTGCAGTGTAAGAGTTGCAGATTACAGGATAGTTTTTTTCTGAAACCAAAGTGTTTATTGGAGAGTAGGTTGTTTGTCTCTAAGTGGAGGATGATGGATTGGTTAATAATTGATTCCATGATTTTACAGGTGATGCAGCATAAGGAGATTGGTCTGTAATTTTCAACTAGGCTGGGGTCTCCCTTTTTGAAGATGGGGATGACTGTGGCTTGTGACCATAGTTTTGTCAAGGAGCTGGTCCTGAAAGATTTTTCAAAGATTATGCTTAGAGGTTCGGCTATGGCAGTGGGTAGCTTTTTTTAAGAAGTAGGCACATATTCCATCCGGTCCAACAGATAGGGATGGTTTAGATTGCGCAGTGCTTTTTCAACATAGTCTTCTCTAAAATCGATATGTATTAGATCATTGTAGTTGTCTGTGGTTCAGCTAGGAAATACTGGGCATGATCCATTGCTGTTTACAAATACTGAGCCAAAGAATGTGTTAAAGAGGTTGGCTTTAATGGTGTCACCATTGCAGTCTTTACCATTAGTTCCTTTCAGGGTAGGGTGGACCTTGGGTGTTTTAGTTTGTTGTTTACAAAATTGTAGAAAGCACGGGTGGAATTGGTGCGTAGAAGGTTTTCCTCTTGTTTAATGTGATAATTGGTGCATTCAGTTTTTATCTGGTGGCATAGATTTTTGCATCAGTTTTTGAAGTTGGCAATGTGACCAGATTTGTTTTTCTGCCAAAGTGATCTCTTTTTGGATTGAAGCTTCCTTATTGTTTGGGGTAATTTGTTTTTTCTGGTTTTGGGAGTTGTTAATGGTACATATAGTTTGATGACTCTTTTGACTTCAAGTAAAAAATATGTTGTAATGGTCTTCTACAGTATTGCATCCAGAGAATAGAAATTGCCAATCAAGGGATGAGAGATCGTTGTTTATAAGTTGCCTTTTTTGAAGTTATAATTGGGGGTTCCGTCGTTGTGATGATTTTTGTGTGGACGTATGTTGAGACAAAAGTAAATTATGCTGTGGTCACTGTTGGAAAAGGGTTCTTTAATTTGTATTCCGTAAATTGAATTCAAACTATTGCAGAAGATGAGATCGAGGCAGTTGTTAAGTCTAGTGTTGTTGGTTACTAGTTGTTCTAGTCCCAGGTTTGTTACTGCATTGTAGAAGGTTGCATGTATGGGTTCAGTTGTACATTGGTTAAGGGTAATTTGCAACACTCCATTTGCTGTAGCATTTAATTTTGACATAAACGCCAAGAACTCAGGGTGGCAAATGCCCAGCCTATTGCTCTGTCTCTTGAAGCAAAGATCTTCCTAGATTATTTTTCTTTGTGGTGCATTTTTGTGCCAATCCTGGATTTATGTTTGCAGTCCAAAAGAAAAGAAAAGAAAAACGGTATTATAAAATATGGGATTTATTTTATCAATGGCCAGATAAAGAAATAGAGAAATAAAATATACTACAATATAAAAATAACATAATAGTTAAGACAATACAATGTAATGATATATTATAATTGATTATTGTGAAATGAATGATACTATGAACTAGGTTTTATAGCAGTTGAGATTTGCTCGAAAAGGATGATGCGAGTTTGCAACTACAGTCTAACAATGATTTGATAATAATATTATGCGGATAGTAGTCTTGTACGATTTTTATGATTTTTAATATAAAATTAGGAGGGAATGACTGTTGATATTGTGCACAAGAGATATGTATCAACTGACACACTGTACAATGGAAAGATTTTATTTGATGTTGTATGTTATGTGTCTGTTTCTTTATATTTGTTGTTAAAAAAAAAAATTTTTTTTTAAAAACGGCAGTGATTCACTCAACAAATATGTCAAGGAAGGTTGTAAAACGGGGCAAAAACTCACTTAACGACCATCTCACTCAGCAACATAAATGTTGGGCTCCCTTGTGGCCAGAAAGCCGAGGGATACCTATATTTTGTTCAGTGAACAAATAGTTGCAAGCCGAGCCAACCTTCCAGCAGGTCTCTTTAGAATCAGAAAAACAGAGTTGGAAGGGGCCTTGGAGATCATCTAGCCCAGCCCCGCCCGCCAAAGCAGGGAAATACCTCATTTCTCTTTCTCATCTCTCTCGCTCCTTTCCAGAAGGCATGACCATCCTCAGCTCAGCCCACGACTGCCTGCAGGCTGGCGAAGCTTGCACCAATGACCCCAGCTGCAGTTCCAAATTCCGGACCCTCCGGCAGTGCATCGCTGGTAACGGCGCCAACAAGCTGGGCCCGGGCGCCAAGAGCCAGTGCCGCAACACGCTGACCACCCTTCTGTCCAGCCAGCTGTACGGCTGCAAGTGCAAACGGGGGATGAAGAAGGAAAAACACTGCCTGAGCGTCTACTGGAGCATTCACCACACCCTGATGGAAGGTCAGTGCGCCCCCCGCCCCCCATGGAGGGTGTTGATGGTGGGGGGGAACCGGGGATATCGCACCAGTGGGGGTACCCAGCAAGCGGCGGAGGATTGGGTCAAGGAACGGAGAATGTTTCTAGCTCAGTGTTGAAATGAGGGGGTCCTTTGGTGCTTTCTGCTCTGGGTGGTTTTCTTGCAGATGTTTCCTGACCACGCTAGGTAATATCATCAGTGGTAGGAGGGAGAGGGTTTGTGGAGAGAAGGAGAAGGAGGAGGACTGCGGGGTCCTTGGGGATTTTCTTGCAGACGTTTCCTGACCCAGCTAGGTAATATCATCAGTGGTAGGAGGCATGGGGTTTGCAGGGAGGAGGAGGAGTCGTGGGGGGGGGGCTGTAGGGTCCTTGATGCTCTCTGAGCTTGGTGGTTTCCTGTGCAGACGTTGCATGACCCAACTAGGTAACATCATCAGTACTAGAAGGGAGGGGGAGGGGGAGGGGGGAGGAGGACAATGACTTCTTAGTGGTCCTTGGTGCTCTCTGAGCCTAGTTGTTTTCTTGAGGGCATTTCATTACCCAACTAGGTAACCAAATCAGTGTTAGAAGGGAATGGAGTTTTGGGGGAAGGAAGGAAGGAAAAAAAAGAAAAAAGGAAGGAAGGAAGGAAGGAAGGAAGGAAGGAAGGAAGGAAGGAAGGAAGGAAGGAAGGAAGGAAGAAGGAAAAAACAAGGAAGGAAGGAAGGAAGGAAGGAAAGAAGAAGGAAAAAAGAAGGGAGGAGGAGGAAGGAAGAAAGGAAGAAAGGAAGGAAGGAAGGAAGGAAGGAAGGAAGGAAGGAAGGAAGGAAG